TAACCTATCCTTTGGAGGGTAGAAATAGCCTACGCAACGCTATCCTTTTTAGAGATTTAGTTCCCTTAACCTATCCTTTGGAGGGTAGAAATAGCCTACGCAACGCTATCCTTTTCAAAGATTTAGTTCCCTTAACCTATCCTTTGGAGGGGTAGAAATAGCCTACGCAACGCTATCCTTTTTGGGTTGTATTTTATTATCGCAATAAACTTAATTGAACTTGAACCTATCCTCGTAGCTTAACAATCCAATTTCTGGCACTAACCTTGATGCAAACCTTTGTATATTTCAAATTTGGTTTAACGTTTCACAAAGTTCGGATCCCAGGTTAGTGTACATGGCAGAATTGGTCTAACAAAGTCTGCCTAGATTGCTTTCAAACGTCTTTATTTATATATTTATGGCATTTATTTAGATATATTAATTTATTTATAGAAGTTTGCCAGCTTGTATGGATGGAAACATCCGTCGTATGGAAACATTTTACTAGTTTATATGACTGGTCTCTTATTTGAGGCCTCTTATTTGCTCCCTGTTTTTTGGATATTGGATCTCTGCATTTTTTCCGGAATTTAAGATGATTTCCTGTCCCGCCTTTCTAACCAATCTATTTTTCCTCTTTTATGTCTTCTACATATATTTCTCTAACACACGCACAAGGGGACACAAGTGGAAACCGAGTACCCAAATGAGCCACAGGGACGTTAGAAAGAACTTTTTCACTGTCAGAGTAGTTAACAGATGGAATGCATTAGGCAGTGATGTGGTGGAGGCTGGCTCCATACACAGTTTTAAATGTAGATATGATAGAGCCCAGTAGGCTCAGGAACCTGTACACCAGTTGATTCACGGTTGAGATGCGGGACCAAAGAGCCAGAGCCCAACCCCCGCAAGCACAATTAGGTGAGTACACACACACTCAAACTTGTGACCATGGGACAAGAGGTCTGGGAAAGGAGAGTTGACTGCAGGAAAGGGGACTATAGGAGGATAAGGGACTATCTGGGAGAAGTGCAGTGGGAGGAAGAAATTAGAGGAAAAACAGTCCAAGATATGATGGACCTAGTCATATGGAAATGTCAGGAGGCCGAAAAGAGATTTATATCAACAGTAAAGTAAAAAAGAAAGAGGGAATATAATAACCCATGGTTTAATAGTGTCAGGAAGCAAAGGTGAGAAGCAGGCGGGAGTGGAGGAAGTACAGAAGACAAAGGACAGAGGATAACAGGATCAGCTGCAACAGAGCTAAGAACGATTACATTAACATAAGATGAGCATCGGAAGGAAGTTATGAGAACGATATTGCGATCAAAGCGAAAAAGCAACTTAAATTACTGCAGAGCCATATAAGAAGAAAAGTGTCGGTGAACGACCAAGTGACAAGACTAAGGAAGACAGAGGGGGCATATACTGAAAGTGACAAGGAAATCTGCGAGGCACTGAATGCCAGTTTCCATGGAGTGTTCACAACCGAGCCTGAACAGCTCCCATTGTTAGAAGAGATTACCCTAGATGAAAGACTATCAGATATAGAGGTGACAGCAGAGGAGGTAATGAAGCAGTTAACACTGGATGCAACTAAAGCGGTTGGACCAGACAAAGTATCCCCGTGGATAATAAAAGAGGCAGCGCAGGCTCTCAGCGTGCCTCTGGCAATGATCTTTAATGATTTACTTATGCCCGAGTGCTGAAAGAGGGCAAATGTTGAACCGATTGTCAAGAAAGGTGATAGGGAGGAGGCACTTAACTATAGACGTGTATCACTGACATGCATCCCCTGTAAAATACTTGAAATTAGGCTGCGACTGGTTGCACACCTGGAGAACGTTAGGTTTGTAAACAAACATCAACATGGGTTCTGGAAAGGGAAATCTTGCCTAACAAACCTTTTGGAATTCTATGATAAAATAACGAGGATAAGGCAGGACAGAGAAGGTTGGGTAGACTGCATATTTCTGGACTGCCAAAAAGCCTTTGATACAGTACCGCACATGAGACTGCTATTCAAACTTGAGAGGCAGGCGGGAGTGAGCGGAAAGGTCCTAGCATGGGTAAGGAACTACCTAACAGGAAGGAGCCAGAGAGTTATGGTAAGAACAAAGGTAACTGCAGAAGTCCTATTGGCCCCATACAAGGCAGCTCTTATTTATAACCACGCAATCCCACTCATATACATGTTCAACCCACGCTTGAAACAATCAAGGGACCCCACCTCCACCACGTTACGCTGAAATTGGTTACACAAATCAAGAACCCTGTTACCGTACCAGTATTCACCTATCTTGAGGTTATCTTGAGATGATTTCGGGGCTTTAGTGTCCCCGCGGCCCGGTCCTCGACCAGGCCTCCACCCCCAGGAAGCAGCCTGTGACAGCTGACCAACACCCAGGTACCTATTTACTGCTAGGTAACAAGGGCATTAAGGGTGAAAGAAACATTGCCCATTTGTTTCTGCCTGGTCCGGGAATCGAACCCGGGACCACAGGATCACAAGTCCAGCGTGCTGGCCGCTCGGCCGACGGGCTCCCAGTGGTGGGTGTAGTGGTGGCGCTGGGGGGTGGGTGTGGGGGTGGGTGTAGTGGTGGCGCTGGGGGGTGGGTGTGGGGGTGGGTGTAGTGGTGGTGGTGTCACTGCTGCTGCCACCTGGGCAGGGTGTAGGCAGCCTCTGCTGATTTATATGGAAAACGAGAATTGCAGTAAGTGGATTCCTAAACAATTTTCCTCCAGTGTAAATAGATTTTGGCCGTAAGGTGTTGGAGGAGCGAGCGTGGTGGGTGGGGGGGGGCGGAGGACGCTACGCATGGAGGTAACAAGAGGGAGAAGGGAGGGAGGGAGGTAAAGGAAAGGAAAGGGAACGAAAGGGGGGAGAGAGATTGGAGGGGGAGAGATGACGAGAGGAGGGGGGGGGGCAGGAATGGAAAGGGATGAGGCAGAAATGGAGGGAACCAGGAATGGAGGGAGGAGAGAGCCAGGAAGGAATGGAGAGCAGAGGCAGGAAGGGAGGGAGGGCGAGCCGCGAGAGGAAGGCAGGCGGGGAGGGGAAAGGTTGGCAGGGAGGGGAGGGAAGGGAGTAGAAAGAGGGAGGGGTAAACGGAAGGGGGAGTTGGAGAAGGGGGCTGATACACACTCCCAGACTCCTCATAAACAATACATACATACATACTCACATGCCCAAAACGCTTTGCGTAATAGTGGCTTTAGGCATTGTATGTACTAGCCCTAACTATAAATCCACCACTCTTTGTAAAATCTCTTTTATGTATGTACCTTACCTAAATAAACATTTTGATTTTGATTTTTGACATACACCATGCTGCACCATACACACCATTCTATAGTCGAACATAGAATCTATTCCGTTATGTAGCTGTGCATTGCAGTATATTAGAGAGCCATTGACGTCAGCAATATCGAATAAACTCGTAACTTGGAATTCAACGTTTTCAAAGTAAAAAAAAAAAATAGTTGCAGAAAATGCTTTCGCAAAATTTACTAGATGTCCCGTTTTCTATTCGTGGGTCTTCGGCTAGGTTACGTTCAGGCAATTTAGTACATGAGTTTAGTGACGCTGGGAAGACTCTAGATGACGGGTTGGCTGTCAGGTTATCTTGATTTCGGGGCTTTAGTGACCCCGCGGCCCGGTCTTCGACCAGGGCCTCCACCCCCAGGAAGCAGCCCGGGACAGCTGACTAACACCCAGGTACCTATTTTACTGCTAGGTAACAGGGGCATAGGGTGAAAGAAACTGCCCATTGTTTCTTGCCGGCGCCCGGGATCGACCCCGGGACCACAGGATCACAAGTCCAGCGTGCTGTCCGCTCGGCCGACCGCCTCCCTCGCTGTCACTAGGCTTTAAGATAACTCTAGCAGATCTGCGTTGATATTTGGTTTCCCTGTGTAGAGTAGTTGCTCCTGGTTATTGCCAGGTAGGTGCAGGGGGTTGGACAAGAGAAGAAAAAATATTGATATGGAAACACTGCCAATTTTTCACCACCACCAAGAAAAAATATTGATATGGAAACACTGACAATTTTTCACCACCACCAATCCCGCTGCACCGTGCCACAATAAGCTAATTACTGAAATTAAACAAAGCAATTTAGATAGACGGACCGGTAAATTTCATTTACCAAATTAATGTGCTCATATAGTTGTACTCGCATACTTGTGCTTGCTCGGGGTTGAGTTTTGGCTCTTTTGTCCCGCCTCTCAACTGTCAGTCAACCAGTGTACAGGTTCCTGAGCCTACTGGGCTCTTTCATATCTACACTTGAAACTGTGTATGGAGTCAGCCTCCACCACATCACTGCCTAATGCATTCCACCTGTTAACTACTCTGACACTGAAAAAAAAACTTTTTGATGTGTCTGTAGCTCATTTGGGTACTAAGTTTCCAACTAGTCCCCTTGTTCGTGTTCTACCCATGCTAAATAACTTCTTTGTCCACCCTGTCAATTACCCCTGAGAATTTTGTAGGTGGTTATCATGTCTCCCCCTTACTCTTCTGCCTTCCGGGGACGTGAGGTTTAGCTCTCGTAGCTCTTACCTGTCAGTTCTGGGACTAGTCAGGTGGCATACCTCTGAATCTTCTCTAACTTTGTCTTGTGTTTAACTAGGTATGGACTCCAAGTTGGAGCTTCATACTCCAGGATTGGTCTGACGTAAGTGGTATACAAGGTCCTGAACGATTCCTTACACAAGTTTCTAAACGCAGTTCTTATGTCGGTCAACCTAGTATATGCCGCTGATGATATCCATTTCATGTGGGCTTCTGGGGACAGGTTCTTTTCTTTTCTACCAGCCTTTTCCTCACGATCTTCTCCATCACCTTGCATGGTATACAAGTTAGAGAAACTGGCCTGTAGTTCAGTGCCTCTTGCCTGTCACCCTTCTTGTATATTGGGACTACATTAGCTGTCTTCCAACTTTCCAGTAGATTTCCTGTTTCCAGTAACCTGTTATACACCATAGAGAGAGTGGCACATTTAGTGTCTCTGCACCTTCTTTTAGTATCAACGGTGAGATTGTCAGGCCCAACAGATTTAGCCACGTCCAGCTCCAACAGATTCATTTTGACCTCATCACTGGTGAGGTCAAATTCTTCCAAGGTTGTTTGGTTTGTCGCCTTGTCTCTTTGTACAAGGGGCGTCTTGCTCTATTGGGAAGACCTCCTGGGATCTCTTGTAGAGTTCTTCACATACCTTGTCTTTCTCTGTGTAAATGTTCTCTCCTTTTCTCAGTTTAGCATTTGTTTCTTCACTGATGTTTTCCTCTTGATGTGGCTGAGGAGCAGTTTTGGTTGGGTCTTGGCTTTACTCGCGAAGTCAGTTTCATACTGTCTTTCTGCTTCCCTCCTCACTCTGAGGTACTCATTCCTGGCCCTCTGGTATCTCTCTCTGCTCTCTGGTATTTTGTTATTGCTGTAGTTTCTCCATGTTCTTGTACTCAGTTGGTTCGCTACCTTACATTCCTGATTTAACCAGTGTGTGCACTCACATAGTTGTATTCACCTAGTTGTGCTTGCGGGGATTGAGCTCTGCTCTTTCGGCCCACCTCTAAACTGTCAATCAACTTATGTACAGGTTCCTGAGCCTATTGGGCTCTATCATATCTACACTTGAAACTGTGTATGGAGTCAGCCTCCACTACTTCACTGTCTAATGCATTCCATTTGTCTAATACTGACACTAAAAAGTTTCTTTCTAATATCTCTGTGGCTCATTTGGGCACTCAGTTTCCACCTGTGTCCACTAGTGCGTGTGCCCCTTGTGTTAAATAGCCTGTCTTTATCTACCCTATCAATTCCCTTGAGAATCTTGAATGTGGTGATCATGTCCCCCTTTAACTCTTCTGTCTTCCAGCGAAGTGAGGTTTAATTCCCGTAGTCTCTTCTCGTAGCTCTTACCTCTCAGCTCGGGTACTAGTCTGGTGGCAAACCTTTGAACCTTTTCCAGTTTAGTTTTATGCTTGACTAGATATGGACTCCATGCTGGGGCTGCATACTCCAGGATTGGTCTGACATATGTGGTGTACAAAGTTCTGAATGATTCCTTACACAAGTTTCTGAATGTGTGTGTGTGTGTGTATGTGTGTGTAATTAACAAGGTCTTCTGTGGACAATGGAAACTATGACGTTCAACATAGACAAATTCGAACCAGTTACATGGATAAAGGGAAAACGAGAACCTTAAGAGAGTACAAGACAGTCAAATATCCCCCCATGGAAACGAGAGACCAAGTCAAAGACTTTGAAAGAATAATATCGGATGACCTAACGTCTAGAGATCCCAATAAAGAAAACATTGCAACAGTCAGGATATTATCGGTTGGATGATGAGCACCTTCACTACAAGAGATCGCGTGTAAGTTCCACTGTTCCAAGTTCCACTGGGATGGAACACTTCAAAGCACTGATGCTATTACGTATGGAATATTGTTTGGTTCTCGCATTACCTTTCAAGGCAAGAGTGTTTGCAGAACTGGATCGTGTAGAGAGAGATCCTTTACTTTATGCATAGAACCAGTGAAGCATTTAAATTACTGGGTCAGACTCAAAGCACACTTTGTAACTGAGTGGAGCGTGTTCTCGCACTATACCAGCGTGTTCTCGCACTATACCAGCGTGTTCTCGCACTATACCAGCGTGTTCTCGCACTATACCAGCGTGTTCTCGCACTATACCAGCGTGTTCTCGCACTATACCAGCGTGTTCTCGCACAATACCAGCGTGTTCTCGCACTATACCAGCGTGTTCTCGCACTATACCAGCGTGTTCTCGTACTATACCAGCTAGTTCTCGCCAGCGTTCTCAACGTCGAGACACTGTCGTATTAAAGTGCCTTGTTCTAACCTACCACAGGACCCACTAACAGAAAACGGGACAGTGTCAGTTTTGCGAGCCGCTACCCATTTTCTAGTACGACAGTCTTAGGTAAATTATACGTCAAAAATGCGACGCTCTATTAGGAGGATGGGTTGCTTACCTACCTACCCCCCCCCCCCGCCCACACACACACACACACACACACTCTCACTCTCTCTCTCTCACTCTCTCACTCTCACACACACACACACACACACACACACACACACACACACACACACACACACACACACACACACACATAAATTCATATACATACATTACTGGAAACTCAGATTCCAAACCTGCTCACTAAAATTCAAATATTCTGGAGTGAAAGCTGTGGTCATTAATGTTAAATATATCCAGTGAGACGTCAGGGCGCCATAAGCACAGTTCTAAAGGTGAGAAGCCCACGCTCGATAACTAAGCCGGTTTCAGTACCTAAGGTTACATTTCAATACAACCCCGGCCCTCCTTGATAATGAATAGGTCAAGACCTCGGCCCCCCCGGTCGGGAGCCGGTCGGCCGAGCGGACAGCACGCTGGTCTTGTGATCCTGTGGTCTTGGGTTCGATCCCAGGCGCCGGCGAGAAACAATGGGCAGAGTTTCTTTCACCCTATGCCCCTGTTACCTAGCAGTAAAATAGGTACCTGGGTGTTAGTCAGCTGTCACGGGCTGCTTCCTGGGGGGTGGAGGCCTGGTCGAGGACCGGGCCGCGGGGACACTAAAAGCCCCGAAATCATCTCAAGATAACCTCAAGATAACCCCCCCATCTTGTTCTATAACACTTCTCTGGTGTCACAATTGCTCGCTTGACCAGAGTAATTACATGCACCTCGCCTCCTTGAATTGTAAGAACCGCCAACACGCCTGTATTTAATTAAAGGGCCACAGAGGACATTACGGGCTCGCCATAGCCCGTGCTACATGGACATTTTCTTCTGAGTAGCTAAATCTAAATTCCAACTGGACGACAGGTGTGCAGGCGGCGATGTCCGTTGACACCTGTCCCCATCCTTTCAGCTTACACACCTGTAGACCACCTTCTCACCCCTTTTTTATTGAACATCTTCTTCTTGAGGTTATCTTGAGATGATTTCGGGGCTTTAGTGTCCCCGCGGCCCGGTCTTCGACCAGGCCTCCACCCCCAGGAAGCAGCCCGTGACAGCTGACTAACATCCAGGTACCTATTTTACTGCTAGGTAACAGGGGCATAGGGTGAAAGAAACTCTGCCCATTGTTTCTCTCCGGCGCCCGGGATCGAACTCGGGACCACAACATCACAAGTCCAGCGTGCTGTCCGCTCGGCCGACCGGCTCCTCTTGTAGTAGTGGCATACTTCTGTAATTTTCAATCGATTGTATAAGATGTGGGGAAAAGGTAATTGACCATTTAAATAAAGCCATGATGCACGGGGAATAATTCAGAGAATAACCAGCAAATGAGGATAAGACAGCAATTAATACGGTGTAACGGCAGTTCATTACTCGCAATTTTGACATCATTACCTTCTTCTGTACCTCTGAGGCAATGATTGCCATAAGTTAATGGATTTGAATACTGAGAAACAGTTAGTAAAAATGTACAGATGATACATGTAAGACCCAGATGTGGTGTTGATTCCCTTCCTATCCCAGCCAAACCCACATCCCCACCCCAACACTGGCCAACAAACACTCCCCACTTTGCCTACCTTACCTTGAGGTTACCTTGAGGTGCTTCCGGGGCTTAGCGTTCCCGCGGCCCGGTCGTCGACCAGGCCTCCTCGTTTCCGGACTGATCAACCAGGAGCAGGTAAGGTGCAGCCTAAGGTACAGGTCTTCCAAGGCCAATACCTCTTTGCGACCTGAGCCACTCTTCAGGTCAGGATCGTAGACCCTATAGGTCTATCAGTCACAAAGCACCTTCAGAGATGGGCGAGACTTGACCTTCCTTGGTTAACGAGAGTGAGGTCCCGTGAATAGTCACACTTAAGACGTCTTCCCTAACTGCCTCACTGAAACGAGGCGATTCAGCCACCCCCTTGTGGTGTAGTTGGTGATGTAGGGGGTGTAGGGGGGTGGGGAGTTGAAGTAAACTCACTCTGCCACTGATGGGTTAGGTTAGGTTAGGTTCTGCAGGCGATGAGTCATAAGAACGTGGCTGAAGTATGTTGACCAGACCACACACTGGAAGGTGAAGGGACGACGACGTTTCGGTCCGTCCTGGACCATTCTCAAGTCGATTCGGTCCGTCCTGGAGAATGGTCCAGGACGGACCGAAACGTTGTTGTCCCTTCACCTTCTAGTGTGTGGTCTGGTCAACATGGGTAGTCTGCCTACACTGACACACACACTGTATAGCCATTTGTAACTTGACAAACATTTAATGGGTCTATGGCCCTAGAACTGGAGGCAGGCTTTCCTGCACCCTAGATAGACTCTCAATCGGGAATCCTGGGTTCGAATCCCTGGCTAGACAGAAATGGTTGGATGCGTTTCTTGTCACGTTATGCCCCCCCGCCCCTCTCACCGGTTCACCTAGCAGTAAATAAGTACCCAGGAGTTAGTCGCCTTGTTGTGGGATTGCATCCTGGGGAGGCGGGGGGGGGGGGGGGGGAGGACCTCAATATAAGCCTAACGTACGTGTGTGTGTGTGTGTGTGTGTGTGTGTGTGTGTGTGTGTGTGTGTGTGTGTGTGTGTGTGTGTGTGTGTGTGTGTGTGTGTGTGTAAGTAACACCTCAAACCCTTTCCTCTTCCAGAAGAGATGATACAGTGTGCCACGAACATATCTTAAAAGATGATTCCATTCGTCTCCCTACTTCCCCCTCACCCTCCTCCCGTCACCCGTAGCCCCCCCTCACCCCTAGCCCCCCCCCCTCACCCCTAGCCCCCCCCCCTCACCCCTAGCCCCCCCCCCTCACCCCTAGCCCCCCCCCCCCTCACCCCTAGCCCCTCCCCATCCTCAGCCCTAGCCCCCCCCCCTCCTCACTCTTAGCCCCATTCACCATGAGGGGTCAAGAGCCTGAGGATGACAAACAACTGCCACCGTAAACACCGTGATGAGACCCGAGAGCTTCCACGATGAAGTTAGGTTGTCTAATGTGTGGTGAGGCTGAGGGTGAATCTGGCCCCTGGTCTTTGTACAAGATTAGATGGCCTCTTCCACAACGGTATTCTGTTAATATATTACTTTAACTACTACCTCTATTACTAACGTATTTGA